TGTGTGTGTGTGTGTGTGTGTGTGTGTGTGTGTGTGTGTGTGTGTGTGTGTAGAGCATGTATGTGCCATGACAGTAAGGTATCTCTTTATGAACAGAAGTTTTAATGTTAATACAGTCACATTTATTGTATTTTCATTTATGAGTAAATGTCAGAGGACAGCTTGAGGGAGTTGGTTCTCTCCTTCCAATATGTGGGTCCCAAAGATTGAACGCAGGTCGTCAGAGTTAGTAGCAGTCACCTTTACGTACTGACCCATCTCTCTGGTCATCTTGTTTGTTTGTTTTTGTTTTGGTCATTTTTGACACTTTATTTTTGTTTTTTTTTTTGTTTGTTTGTTTGTTTTGTTTTGTTTTTTTTTTGAGATAGTGCCTGGAGCTTTCTAAGTAGACCAGGCTAGCCTAGAACTTACAGATGTCCACTTGCCTCATTCTCCAAATACTGGGGCCAAGGGTGTTTGTTACCACAGTGGGGTTAGCCACCATGTTTTGCTACTACTTTGTTTGTTTGTTTGTTTGTTTACTAGCTTTCGTTAAGATTTGTTTTTCTCTGGGTATGGTGATATACATCTTTAGTCCTATCAGTCAGGAGTCAGAGACAAGTGATTTCTATGAGCTCAATGTCAGTCTTCATAGTGAAACCCTGTCTTCAAAAGATTTATTTTTATTTGTGCGTGTGTGTGTGTGTTTACCATATATGTGGGGGCCTGAAGAGGTCAGAAGGTGTCTGATCCTCAGGAACTAGAACCCAAACTCATCCTCTGGAAGAGCCGTTCTTGCTCTTCAGTTGCCATGCCATCTCTCCATCCTCCCAGATTTTGCTTCTTTTTAATATAATATTTTTATTAATTCTTTGATAATTTTATACATGTATGCAATATATTTTGTTCGTTTTCTCCCCCATGCCTCCCTCTCCTTCCAGATCTTCCCTTAAAAAAAATAATAATCCACTGAGTCCTATTTTTGTTACCATACACTCATGAGTAACCACTGGAGCATGGTCAGTCTACTCTAAGCCACACTTAAGACTCTCCCTCCCCCAGAGGCCATCCACTTGTCAGTGGCTCCTCAGCTGGGGCTGGGGATTTGTGAACTACTCTGGGGATGCTGACTGCTATGATCTTGTACAGGTCTTATGACAAGAACAGCAGCGACTGTGAGTTTACGGGCTCAGTGGTCCTATCATGTCTAGCAGGCCCTGTTTTGCTCCCTGAGCTCCTGAGTCCTCCCTGAGCTCTGCCAGTCTTTCCTTCCCCCTTCTCCACAATGGTCCCTGAGCCTTGTCGGGGTGGATATGGTATAGAAGACCCATTTGTGGCTGAGCATTCCTTACTTGTGCTCTGTACTTTAACCACTTGTGAGGTTTGTTGTTGTTGACCACTGTCCACTGCACAGAGAAGCTTATTTGATGAAGTCTGAGATGGCCCTGATCTGTGAAAATAACAGTAGACTCCTGGGGGCCACCAACAAGGGGTTCTTAGGCAGATTTACAGTGCCAGGCGTATGTTCTCTCCTGTGGAACAGGCCTTAAGTCCAATCAGAAAGCAGTTGGTTACCCCATAACATTGCAGCCACAGACATCATCAGTTATTCCACATCAGTTATTACTATAACTTACAGGGTCATATTTTGCCTCTTGATGCAGGCAATAGATACTTTGAGGGCTTCTGTTTCCTTTCTTTCTCTCCCTTTACTGAAAGTTTAGACTAAACCATGAGAGACTGACATTTTGAGGGTCAGAATGGTAAACCATCAACAACTTCCAGTATCTTGCCCTAATAATTTATGGATAGCTGTTGAATACCAAACAACCTGAGGCTTTCCCTAAGCCCTGATAATGTGAAGAAACATAGCTCCTTTTCTAAACCAGGAACATGCTTTGGCAGAGCTAGTAACAGCCTGGTCCAAGACCTTGGGAGCTTTCCACTGAGGCCTTGAGGTATGTATGTATGTATGTATGTATGTATGTATGTATGTATGTATGTATGTATGATGTTCCTTCTCTAAAACCAGGAATATTCTTGGCAGAGCCAATAATGTCCTGAGTCCAGAGCGTTGGGGGAGCTGCAGCTTCGGATCCTGAGAACCCAACTCTTCCCACCTTAAGGGACTGTGGTTATCAGTCCCAAGGCTGCTGTGTGTTTGATCCATGCAGCTCTTGAGATATCCTGCATTCCCTTTGTGTAACATTGCTTCCTGCTGACTTCATCATTAAGGCTGAAGTTTATATGACCTTTGAGTATGGTCTTCTCATTTCCCAGATACTTTCTGGAAATGTCAGGAATGAGCCCATTAACTTTTGTTTAGTGTGAAAACATCTTCTGGTAAAAGTCTCATGAGCTAAGTTTACACACAGTAGCCACCCTGTGATCTCATTTAAGTTTCATAGCTTTTCAAAGAGAATAATTTCAAAACCCAACAAAATCCCATATATGGCTATAGAAAGCCGATGAAATACAACTCTTTGAGAAGCCCAGGGCCACACCCTAGGTGTTTGCCTCACATTTCTCTGAGTGCCTCTCTTTCTATTAAACCACACTTGCATGTGTGTTGGGGTCTATGAGATCACTTAGCAGCTAATGACCCTTGCTGTCAAGCCTAAAGATGTAAGTTCAATCCCCAGGACCCACATAGTGGAAGGAGAAAACCAATTCCTTTGTCTAGAGAAACCAAGAATCAGCTTTACCTGACTGGAGGTCTCTAAATAAGGGAAATCTTTAGGTAGCTGTGATGCCAGCATGGCTCTGTGTCTCTCCACCACCACTGTATAGAGACAGTTTTCAGTTCCACTCACTACAGAAAACATGCTGAGAGAAGAGACAGCACCTCCAGGAATACTGGCCCCTAGTACCAGAAGGATACAGTAAGAAGCCAAATGCAGCTATGTATGGTGGCTCATTTTTGAGTGCCTTGTCATTGTTTTGGTGGGGAGAGGGGTGCTGTTTGAGACAGGGCCTCACTACATAGCTCTGGCTATCCTAGGACTCTCTATGTAGGCTAGGCTGGCCTCAAGCTCACAGACATTGTCCTGCCTCTGCCTCCCTAGTGCATCACCTCACCTGGCCCTGTTTTTTAATGTCGTTAGATACTCAGTATCGATCTCTCTAAAGATTTGTTGTAGTCTGGATTATGTATGTGTAGGGTGAGGATATGTGCACTTGAGTGCAGGGCATTATATCCCCTGAAGCAGTTGTGAATTGCCCAGTGTGGGTGGTGGCAACACAACTAGGTCCTCTCAAAGAGCAGTGTGCACTCTTAACTGCTGAGCCAACTCTCCAGCCCCTCAGCTGCTTTCTCTTGAGAATGTCTTCATGCCAGGGTGGTTACATTTCCCCTACTCTGTTTTTACATCTTAGTCTTAAGCGACAATATGTCTGTGTCCGAAACAAATCCCTTTAACAGAATGTAAGCAGGAGCTATGGCAACAGTCAGAGCCATTTCTCCACATTTATAGAAGGTGTTATGAGCACATTGTGCCAGAAACATAGATGAAGGTGTTTGTAATTTTCCACAATGTCAGAGTTTATTGAATAACAATAAATTAACAAGGTATAGTGGTTCTCATGACAGCAGTTTGCCAGATACTACTACCTACCTTGGTAACCTGGATGAGATAAATTCTTTTATCCTAACCTTAACTGCTATTAACTCCTGTATAACACAACGACAGCACTCAGGAAGTATATGTATGTGCGTGTAGTCTGCAGAGAAAATACAAGCTAAAGAGACTTCAGCTGAGTTTAATATGCTTTGGAAGCAGGCTGACAGAAATGTGAGTCTGTATTGATAAGATGAACCCAAAATCAACCACAAAGAAGTAGCTGTTGCTATGGAGACCCAGCTGCAGAGAAGTCTGGGTTGAGAGTGTAATCAGGTGAGAGAGCCAAGCTAGGTTGGAGCAGGGAGCAGAGGGTTCAGGTCCAAATGGACAAACAGGTAGGTGGGCAGATAGCAGTCAAGTAAAGCATGTCAAGCCAAGATGAAGTTTCAGGGGCATTTGGGAGACCTCTAGTGGTCCTTAATGTACACACCAGTAGTAGATGGCAGGTTTGTGTGGCCCCTTGTCATTGCAGGAGTTCACCGCTGTGTGGCGCCCGGGTGAACGGGTTATTCCTTTTTCCTAGGCTGGCATTTCTGATAGATAGCCTGGCTATTCTGATAGAATCATAATGTGTCCATGTGTCCCTACACTCTCAATTCTCCCCGAATACTTTATAGCATAAACCCTTTTTTTTTTTTTTGACAGCCAGGAGTGGGCTGGAAGGTGGTGCCAGTAGATGGTGATGTTCACATGTCTATCCCAGAGTGCATCATCTTCCGCCCCCAAAATGGTGTCAAAAGTCCTGTATGACATGGAGTTTGTCAGGGCCGAGCACAGGAAAAAGGACTTGTATACAGTGTGGAGTAACCTAGAGCGCGAGTGGCAGGAATAGCTGCCCTCACTAGAGCACTGGCACAGCGATCTCATCAGTGCTGGCCTGAGACATTCTCCCCCGTGAAGTCCAAGCTGGGCTGAAAGTCATGACCCTCCTGCCTCAGCCCCCCAAGTGCTAGACAGAGCATTGCCGTGCCCAGGATGACTTCATTTGGATTTGGGCAACTGCCCGCCCTATGTCTCTGAAGACATTGCTGACTCACCATCACTTGCCAGGTTGAGATCCATCATACTTGGTCTGATCATAACCCATAATATGTGGGTAAGTGATATATGTCAAGGACCTACTGTCAATAAAACAATTTGTAACCAGTTTTAAGTAACGGGGTTTAGAAGAAGTGGATATTTATCTGTTCATTTATTGAGACACAGTCTCTTACATAGTCTGGCTGTCCTGGAACTCACTCAGGAGACCAGGCTGGCCTCATAGTTACAGAACAAGCTCCAGGACAGCCAGGGCTACATGGAGAAACCCTGTCTCAAAAAGCG